CCTTTTCTACATCGAAATTACTCTGTGCTCCTGTGGTTTTTACCTTGTTTCACAAGCTACAATAATTTTGTTGTGGTTTTTTTTTTTTTAATGGCAACAAAAAATATTTTTTCTGTGTGACAGTGGTGTGCTAGATGTATCAAAAGGCAAGTGCAAACCTCTTTGTCAGGGAAAGCTGAAATTTTGTTTGTTGTATTCCAGAGAGATTTATAAATTACTACCTCTTGATATGGACAAGTGTCCTTAGGAAGATCGGCATTACATTTCAGGCAAAGAAAAGGGGTATTTACATGGTGTGTGCAATGGTACCAGCAACCATGTTGTGTTTTGCCAGAGCTGCAGTGTGCCCAGTCTCACAGCTTTCCCTATTAATGTTTAATAGGAAAAGCAGCAGGGCCCAGCACATTAGTGCTCCAGCACTGCAAAATGGGTTTGGAAACTGCACTGTGGTTGCTGGCAAATTTTTTTCAAATACCTGGATAATTACTGTTAATAAATCAGTACTGAGAAAGCTCCTGACAGCTGAATCAAAGAGTCACTTGGCAGTTGTAGGATAACAAAGTGTTATTTGACTGTAAGTGTTCAGGTAGGGAGCAGTTGTACAGTCCCAGTCAAACTCTTCTTCTGCAAAACGAGAGAGGACGGAATCCTGCTCCTGCAGAAATGGCTCCTCGGGATCCCCACGCCTGTCTGTGTGTCTGTTAGAAGTCGTGTGCTGAGGTGCTGCTAATTTAGCTCAAGTTTTTGCACTCCTAGGGATGACAAGAAGTGATGTAATATGGGCTAAGGAAGTGGGGAGAGCTGCATTTCCAAGGTTTGTCTCTTGCCATTCCAGACTTTTCCTGCCTAGAGCAGTCCATGGGCTGGTCCATCAGCTACTCTTATTCCAGAGCAGCAAAACTTGAGTCAGGCTGTTTTATCACTGTAGTGTAGTAGAGTCTTTTAATAGAACAGTCTTTCCACAGGGATGCATTTTTCCCAAAATGGCCACTGCAATGTACATCCAATGCAGTAATGACAGTCTGCTTGTTTTTCTGCTGTCACTGGTTTTACTGCTGTGGGGAGGGGGATTCTTATGCCATTTATAGTACCTGATTTAATTTTTTTGTAGGCTAGGACTGTTTCATTGACTTGAATTCTCTCCCTTCTCAGTTACTCCTCCTTTGCCCTGTTTAGTATAATACCTTCCAGGGTTTTGGTTGGGGTTTTGCTTGGTTGGCTTGGTTGTTTATTTTTGTGGTGGTTTGTTTGCTTTTTCCCGTGTGTTTGAAGCATCCATTTCAATGAGATTGAATCAGTGGCACTGTATTCATGCTCAACTTTTTGACAGCATGTGAAACTGCAATAAGAGTTAGATCTGGACAACCCTTCATGTTGTAAACCATTGATTTTGTGTCCTGAAGTAAGACTAGATTTGTGCCTAAATCTTCTGAAGTTTGAATCATTCATGTTTCTGTGCTTCTGTACTTGGTAGTCCACTGGCTTTGTAGGTCACTGGCGATAATACCATGTAAATGAGATCTCTCTAGGTAGAGAGAGCATCCACACAGGCTTGGTACCACTGAAACCATCCCAGAACCTGCCTGTGTTGTAAATTTAATGAATCTTGTGAAGAAATTCATAATGTTGGCAAAATATTTGAAGAGTTCACGGAATTAACTCTGTGGCCTGCAGTTCTACATGAAGATTCAAAAAACTAGAGAATAGATAGTGTAATTGAATTTCCTGGATTTCAGTAAACACACCGAGATGCAGTGGATATATTAAAAAAAAACATTAGTTTTAAAAATACAGCTGTACATTGTAAGTTGTCAATAAAACTACGTGATCCGAGTTCAGGGATAGAAACTGGAATATTTATTGAAGACGCAAAACACAATTTAAGGGTTTTGGGGGCAGGACATGTTAATGAGGAGGATGGGTTATGCTAACTAGGCGATGGATTATGTTAACTAGGGGATTACACAAGTTTCTGCTACAGTTACACAATTGGAGGGAAGAGAACAAAGGGGTTTCTACATGGTCTGATAACATCATCACAAAGTCTTTCCATGATCTTGGAGATCCCTTCCAACCCAGCTGATTCTATGATTCTATCTTACTGGAGGAGACAGGACAATCAACAAAGCTAAATATTAACAGGTCTTGTGTTGAAGGTCCTTAGAGTAAGGAATTTCTCCCAGCTTCTGCTGTCCATGGCCTGCTACATAATCTTATCAGCTCCTTCTCTGCTGATAGCTGAGCCTGGATCCCAACAGTGCATCACAAGTTCCAACAGTGATAAAGGATAGCATCTGTTAACAAATCAGGCCTCATCAATTCTTAGCCTAAGAAGGAAGAGAAATATGTAAAGCAAACAAATAAGCTGTGTGATTAAATATCTATACAATTTGTGATGCATTCCCCTTTGGGACCACTATGGGGAAGTACAATATTTCAAATTACCTTGCAAAGAAGCAGATGTGTTTTTTGGAATCTACTGCATGCATCAAACAGCAGTGTGAACTGCTGGCAGTTGTTGCTAACATATGAGTATTCCTGTTCTTTGTCTTGAGCTTAATAATTCTGGAGGTTTTCAAGTCTGTCCAATGGGAACTGACACCTATACAAAGGGTGTTATTAACAAGTTAAAAATCTCTATAAGCCTAGGAACTCTATGCAGATTATAGAATTTAATGACATTTTAGGCTGTAAGAAAACAAGGCCATCTTTATGCCCCTTAACTGTATCATCGCTGAAGGTCACAAATATCATCAGCTCCTCTACTGAAACTGGTGGCACGAACTCGGCTTCCATCACCCAGTGTGTGTTCAGTATGTGTCATGTGCCAATAATCAAACGTGAGCTGGGAAAATGTCCACAGAAAATATACCTTGGAGCTTAGGAAATACAATTGCTAAATCAGAGACTCTGTTTGCTGTAACAGTGGCTGCAAGTGCACACACAGGTTATCTGTAAACTCCCATCTTGTACTGACCAAAAGTTTCCCCATAAAAAATAGGCTGGCATGAAGGGCCATTTCCAGGGGATCCTGAGGGAGAGGAACATTTTAAATGTCATTACATTCTACTACTTTGCCATTATCTGATGACACAACTAATTATTCTCGGAAAATGTTGTTTATTTAAACAGTAATTCTTTAGTACCCTGTGTTCAGAATATTCTCAATGGGATCAAATAATTCCTTATAATATTAATCATCATAGCATGGAATCATCCTCAAGAGCGTAATTATTGGCAGTGCAACTAGCATGCAGCAGAAGTTCTTGTCAAGTCTACAGGTAAGGCAGATATGGATGTCTCCAAAAGGCATCATTAAAAGCAGCCATTTCAGCAGAAGAAGCTGAAATTTATGATCTTGATGTAATGACTTTGAACTGAAAGCAGTGAAGTCACTGAGCAAGTGGCAAATCATCCATGAATTTGTGACTTGCAGCTCCCTTGCTCACCAAAGTCTAATTGTATGGAAGAGCCCCAAATGTTGACTTGTTTTGATGTTCAGCTGAAAAAGAAACTTGCTAATAAGGAGTTGCAGTGCTGCTCGCCATCCAGAGCTCTTGACATGCTCAGTGAAAGGGAACGGACAAGGTACAGAGAGAAGTTATTTTGGATTCAGTCAGTTCTGCCCTGTACAAGAGAGATGTTGGATTGGGAGGGAGGCCTCTGAGAGGGAAAATCCAGCTCAGTCCCCCAGCATGAGCAGGAAAGGCAGGTGTTCCTGCTTCCTCACTCTAGTCATCACCTTAAGTGCTGATGATTCTGCTTTTCAGAGCAATAACTAAAGCAGTTTCTTCCATCCTTGTATTAACAAACTTAGTAAATCATATCCAGGATGATCTTTAGTGGGAAATTTCACAATTTATACTGGTACTTACAAGCCCAGTGAGCTCTGGGATATGTGCTCTCTACTTATAGTACAGTGGAGATTTCCTTGGCAGTATAAAAAGCAGTCCAGACAAATAACAGCTATGTTTTGGTTTTGTTACACCTCAGCATGTATCACTTCACAGTGACAAATATAAATCCCAGTTCTGATTTTGGATTCCTGGCCAAAAGCACTAGTAAGTTTTGTTGTCTCATACAATTTGGTATGTCTCTTTTGAGATACATTTCCCCATAAGGTGCCAGGTGCCTTGTGAGTGAGACAAGTTCTAGAGGCACTTGAGCTCTATGGACACTTCAGCGCAGCACTAAAAGCTGTAACAGCTGACAGGTCCTTATTTTCAGCTCATCTTCCCTTCTCGCTGGTGCACTGTGCTCTCCAGTGCTTTTCTGTAGCTGCTGCTTTATCCTTGTCAGCTGCCACAGAAAGGGCAACTTTTCATTGATCACTTTTGGTGCTAAAACTTGGGAAGGGATCTTGTTTCTTCTGAAGAAATGTGTGTTGAGCTTCCCAGTTGTTCGCTCGGCAGTACAGTTATTTTGTTCACTTTGCTTGTGAACACATTTGCTCAGCCTTAGCTTTCAAGTGCATATATAAATACAGAACTTAGTGAAGTGTTTGAAATGTGTTGGTAGTAATCTGTCAGTTGGGTGCTGAAGCTGCTGAAATCTGCACATAATAGGGTCAGCATTTTCACTGTTAAGGCAAAAAGCAGTTTTTAAGGATGTGTTGAGTAGTTCTTTGCTCAGTATTAAACTGTTAGTTTTTCAATAGAGAGACAAGGCTCTAGCTGCATTAAGCTTAATGTAGAAATTACTGTATAATTTTATGACCTGTATTATTCAGAAAGCCCGACAAGATGATACTAATGCTCTCTCCTGGTTGTAAATTCTGTAAGATGCTTAGATACCACATGGTTACAGCATTGGCATAAATATGCTGATTGATACAGATGTAATTAATTTTTAGATCTTTCTTGCAATTATTCTGGTGATAGATGTCTAAATTTGTCCATAACCTATTAGATAAAATGTCCCACTCTATTACTGCTACTTGTAAAATTTAATGTTTACAGGGCTTGAGGTTATGGTTCTGATGTTGCTTTTTTGTTCTACAGGTGTACTTGTGGATCCAGTAAAATTATGAGCTGAACTGCACACTAAAGTGTGGAGTTAGCTCCCAGGAACTGCAGCCCATGAGTACTTGAGAAGGGCTCTCTGGCCAAGGGGAAGGGATGACCAGTGGGGCTGATCCTGGGTCTGCAGGGCCCCAGGTGGGAGCAGTAGAAATTCAGTTTCGAGGCTGAGCATTGTTTCCTGAAGGTCTGTTTCTGAATTTTGGGAGGATACACAACTTCTACTGTCCTCACCGAGAAGTTGCTTGTGCTGCTGTTCTACTGTAGGTTTTAACTTCAGTTTATCCTGGTGGTTTTCAAAGGAAGGAATGGAGACCTCATGACAAGTAAGTGTTGGCCTAGTTTTCTTTTTTAGTTGAAAAAAGCTATGATGTTTGTCCTTTATTAAATTTGTTGTGGCATCAAAAATATCTTTGGAGATGCAAGGAATAAAACGATATATGGTCAACTTAGTTATACATTTTTATTTTGCTGCAGCTCTTGATAAAACCAGAGATATCATCAGGGCAATACCACTTCAGTTGCTTTTCATTTACTTTGATATACTCTGTAAGTGCCAACAGCTTTTAAAAGTAGTACTGTTCCAGTAAGGGGTTTGGCAGGAATAGGCCTGTATGTGTAGCCTGGGGATTCCTACCAGGTGCTGCTGTTGTACCTGAGAAAGGAAGTAAAGAAATAAGATGATGGTGGTGAACTTTGTCCATGTGGGGATACAACTGAACCTTGTATAATTTAAACTCCTGCTGGACTGAATGGATGAAGTTCAGAGGATGAATACGGACCATGCCCTTTAATGTATTTTCCCAGCTGAGAGAATAACAGGGAATACACTATGAATGATACTCATTCAGTCTATCTGATTGCTGCATGGTAAAGATGAATTAAATATTTCCAATTTTTAAAGCATGGAAAAGACCTGAATGTTCTATGAAGGAGCTTTGTGTAAGTATTACTGTTTCTTTAGCAAGTAGTGCATCAGTCACCATTATGGTGGCCATAAATAAGTAACTGTTTAAAGCCAAGAATTTATCGTTGTTTCAAACAATGTTTTAATAGTCTGATATTTCAAATTATCACTTTAGTTAAAATATACACTCATAGTTCATATTAACATAGAAAGCTTCAAAAGTCAGATGTAGTTTCCTACAGGTGTTAGGGATGTCTAAGCTGAAGAGGGTAATTGGAGTTTGGAGACTGTGTGCCAGGACATGTTAAATTGTTTCACTTGGGTGTGTGCAGGTGCTCAAACTGCTGTTTGTTGGCAGCACCCTCAGAAACGAGGAGGCCTCTTTACCGGTGTAAAGGCTTCTGGGCTTCAAAAGGTGAGTTTTTATGCTGGGCACAAACGAGAAAGGAAAAGGTCCCAGTTCCAAATGTTTCCTTCTTCTTGAGAAGAGACAGGAAAACTTCAGTGTCTAAAGCTTCCCCTTTATTTTTAATGTGCTAACCTGGTTTCGTGTCAATAGGAACCTCCAACTATGTACTCTTGTACATGTTGTTTTAATACATTGACTTGAGTCACTTAAATATTCTTGTTGTTGAACAGCTTCTTGTGTAAAAACCATGTAAATTTGCAAGGAGGTTTTTTCTAGGGCGATGATAACCCCTGAGAAAGCCTCCACTTAGTAGGAGAAGCAAAAAATCTGTGTAAATTCAAATCTTAATCAGGAGGCAGGAGACTTTAATTAGGGTGTCAGTGTGAGGATGTGGGTGGGCAGTAGCTGTTTGCAGGGTTGGTTCTTTGTTCTGCGGTGGCTCCCTCTGTGTTACTGGTGTTTCATGGCAATCCCCTTTGGGATTTGGGATCTGCTCTCTTTCTCTTCTTCCCTTCAACCAAATGGACTTGAAATCTGCTACTTGTAATGAAAACTTGAATACAGAAGCATCAAGTAGCTGGAGATTAGCAAAACAGTAAATGTTAGACAATTATGTACTCTTCAGTGTGCAGTGTTTGCCAAAGCTTTCTCTTTGTCAATACAGTGCTATGTCTGAAGATGCACTTGCCTTGGAATTTGGAAAACAAATACTGATTTGTGCTTTTGAGCAAGTGGTAAGCCCTGGAGAAAAGCACTTGCCCATCTTTCTTCTGATGCTCACCTTCATAGGATGTATATTTATAACCTTACTGTTCTAATAATCTTAAACAACTAGCCCTGAAGATAACTGAAGCATGACTTTGTTGCAATTTATCCTTCTTGCTGAAAGGGATTAAATAATATAAATCAAAGGTTAGTGAAAGCATTGCCTTGAATTTTAGATGCTTTTCAGTGCATCTTTTAGAAGGCTCTCTTTGAATTTCTTTGTTAAAAATACTCTGTAAGGGGAAAAATATCACTTGGGATCTGTATATTATTCTGTGAATGTTTTGCTGGTAGCAACAGGAGACAATGGATGTCAAAAGAACCAGGTGCAAGAATTACTTTCTAGATGCATAGGACAATCTGTGCACAAGCTCATATAATACTATATAATATATATAGTATAATATACATACTATATATATATATTATATATATTTAATATATAATACTTCGTAAGACTGGTGCCAGTCAGAGTTTTATATGACTTGAGGACTGGAGAGAAAGCCTAAACTCACCTGCAATCAAAAACTATGTCTGTTGGACAAGAGAATGTTCAACAAATTGTAGCATTGTCTTGGAAATCACCACAATTTACACCTTGCTCTGTTTGGTTATCGCGACTCTCCTGAGGTGAGCTGCAGCTGTGCTGCAGGTGACCCAGAGTGTTGATTGAGAAAGGCTACTCCATAGGTTCTCAAAAGTTTTGATGGGCAGCAAACTTTGGTGTGTCTGGGTTGCCCATGCAACTGGCTCCTGGGACTGCAGCTGGTACTCTTCACTCTTAGACCATTCCTCTGGTGCTGTTCAGGTCAGGAATCTCTATCTCCAAAGCCAGGCTTCATTCATGGGTGGAAGGCCTAACTAACTTAGAAGGGCTATCCATACTTCATTATTTGTAACAAACAAAGGTTTATTTTCTTCTTTTTTGTCGTTGTTGTTTTGCTTAGCTGCTGACCTTAAAATAGACATCTGAGTAATAACGGAGATGAGATTGAATGTAAACCATCTTAAAAAGACAAATGCCACGAGAACCTTAAAAAACTGTCTTAATCTTAATCAAACTCTGTTTTCGTTATCTGCAAAGGGTGTTCATGGATCTCCTGGTATAGCCAAATGCATTAGTCCTATTGGAGAGCCTAATCTGCACCATGGGTTGGTGGTGCCTGATCTTTCTGGCTGGGATGGACACTTAATTTAATCTTGAACCAGAGGAGCACCCTTCATACCTCCCTGGTAGGTGGAGTGGCAGTAGGATGGGAGAGTTCTCGCTGTCAATGTGAAAACTTGGAGAGTACTACTGCCATTTGTTTGGCTGCTGTCTGCTCCTTCCTTGGTGAATGGAAAAAGAGAGACCAGTGGGGTGGATGGCTCTTATAGGAGCTCAGGGTCTGTGCCTTTGGCTTTTTAGGCTCACCCTGCACCTCTCAATCCCCAGAGGAGAAGCATTTACCTATTGGATTTTATCTACACAGTCAGGGGCTCAAATCAGGATCTCCAGGATACAGCTGTCTTGTCACTTGCTATAATTAGACTTCAAAGGCCCGACTTCAGGCCAGAATCTGGAGTTCTTTTTAAGCGCCATGGCAGACCTACACTGCAACAGGGTTTTTTATCACAGTCCTACTTGTTTTAAACCAGAAGCATGTTATAAAGCAGTAATTCTCTACAGGTTTCAAAGCTTAGAGTGTATTGTTAGTTACCTGCTGGAGTGCTGTGCTCTTTCAGTTCTCAGGTTTATCAGGTTTTTGTTTTAAGATGAGTCTCCCTGTGTCCTCATACCAGTTCAGCTAAGAGCAGTCCTGCTCGTGCAGTGTATTTCTTCCTTTATTTCATGGCTTCACATTAGGATACAGAATTACTCAGAAAGCCAGAGGCTTTCTCAAGGCCTGCTTGTTAGTTATTCCTCCTCTATAGACACAGCCAGCCTGGATCTTTCTGTAGTTATGTGATACAGGCTCCGTGTGAAGAGGCTGAAAAGCTCAAGTACCTGCTGCATTTGGCACACCTCTGGGCTTTGAGGCTTCCGCGTCTGTCGTGATTCCTTTCATTCCCTCTGGAAGTGAGGGAAGGAGCTCACAATGTGTGGTGGGGGGAAACAGTTTTCCCCCTGAAGTTATAAAATGGTAAAACCCCAGGGGGTGGTGACCCTTGAAGTTTTGAGGTTTTACCCAATGAGAACTTCTGCAAAATATAAACATATCACAAGCAGAATGGAAGACAAGGTGGTCGTAGTTGTTGTTGAAGTAGCAGCCATGTAGTGAAGCCACTAGGAGTGAGAGCAGGAGCCCCCCTGGGGGGCTCTGGCCCCCCCCCCCCCCAGCCCCTGGCTGGGGTGGGCTGCAGGGACTTGGAACAGTGTTAAACTGGGCTAAGTGCCTGTAGCTAGAAAGCTGAAGGAGTTTTCTCCACCTTGATTAGGCAGCAGGAGCAGTGGCAGAGACAGCAGTGAACAGAGGCTATGGCTGAAAGCCAACAGAAAAGAACTGAACTGGAAAAGCAGCAGAAACAAGCCTGCAGCCGAGCAGGGAGATACAGAGTTGTCTGAGAGAGCCAAGAGAGAGCCAGCAGCAGAGAGAGAACTAGGCTCTACAGAGAGAGAGAGAGTTGGGGTAAGAACTGAAATAAAACCCCATACCCCTCTGAGACCTCTGAGAAAGGAGGAGGATGATGGACTCTTACTTGAAAGAGTCTTAAAGTGCTACAGCACTTGCAGAAAGGAGCTGAAAAGGAATGCGGAGGGGGTGACCTTGGCCCCCCTGCTGCTTGAGACAGAGCACAGAGCTCTGCAAAGGGGGCTTGAATCTCCTGAAGATACAGACCGTCACAAGACCCCCGTGCTTCGTGGTATGACTGTGGTGACGTGACCGTTGTCTGGGTGAACGCAGCCCATGGAAGATAAGACCCTCGCTTGAAGATGAGTGGCCAAGGGGCTTGGATACCCCCTCATGTGTACTGGCAGAGATCCAGCTACAGCTGCTGCATGAGAAGAAGAGAACCTGCTGCCTTAGAGACATTGCTGCTCTGAGAGTGGAAAAGGATCTTTTCCTACTTCCTCCTGGACTTTTATTTGGCGGGGAGAAGAGATTTGATCCATTGTAAATACTTATGTCATGGCAGAGATAGCTAAGATTGTATATAATGTATTGTAGTATTTATTTGTACAGTCATTGTAATATATATTCCCTTTCCCCCATTTGAGTCTCGTGTGGTGTCTGGAAAACCCATCTCACAGTGGGTTGAGATGT